CACTTATTTAAGTAAAAAATGCAAATATGAGTGATATGCTATTGATTGAACTTCATGAAATATCTTTAAAGCTAAAACTTAGGGTCCCCAAATGATTATCCTGGTACAGAAGTATCACACATGGACCATCCAGAACCTTATATTTGAATCAGGGCTGAAACAGACTCACCAGGACAGCCTCTGAATGAATGGCATTAGATTTGGGGGCAGTGGAGGAGCACTATTCCTCCTGGGATGCAGGGGGTCAGGGCCAGGCTCCTCACCTGCCCGCAGGACTGCAGCCCTTGTTATTATGTTGCTTGTGCCTGCACAGGGGGTGCCAGCGAAGAGCAGTAGGAGCTGAAACACGCATCCAGGGGAAAGAGAGAAAAGTGGGTGCTGTCCATTTATCAAGTCATGAATTTACCAGTGGGTCTAGGGGATGCCGCCTTCTGACCCTACAATGGCTAGTGGCCAACCTGGCAGCTTCCTATTCTAGGGAATAGGCTAATACTCTTACCTGTATTTGTAAAGTGGTTGGCTGTGTTTGCTTTATGGTTTTGCTTTCAGCCCCATCATTTATTTCCCCATTGTAATTTCAAGCTGTTTTGTGCATTTTTACCTATCTTACCCAGGTAACGCCCTCCAGATGCCATTAAGGCCTGCTTCCCCCACCTCCCTTTCTCCCCCCGCCTCTCTCTCTGCACCCCCCCCCCCCCCACCACCACTACCACCCCTGCTTCATTTGGCCATTAATTGGGCTTTCTCCTTCCCTGATCCTGTCTGCCCATTCTGCACTTAATTTTCTCAGCTAAGATCATAGCTTTATGCTATGATCAGCAAAAACAAACTAGTATCTTCAACTTTAAAAGTTTCAGCTTGTAAAGTTCTGAGATTCTTCTTCCAGGAACTCAGCCTCACAGTTTAAAGGGAAGCCATTGTTCTAGAGGGTGAACCTCAAAGTCATAAACCCCTCTAGGGTTTCTTATTTGTAAAATGGTAGTAGGATGTTGGAAGTGGCCAATGACACAGTCTCCTCCTACTTGGGAACATCTTTTGTGAAATCATTTTTTTTTTTTTTCTGTTAAAGGTTACTAGTAAAAGCAGCAGCAAGTCTGTTTTTTCATTTGTTCTGTTAATTTTCAAAATCTTAATATAGCATATTGGTGTCAGAACCAGTTGTCTCAGTAACAGGAAGTAAATGCCCAGGTAGGTATCATATAGCTGCTTCCTCATTCTCTTGGAGACCTGCTGTGAAGGGGACACACCTACTGCTTAGAACTTCCCTTCTGAGCCACAGTTCCCTTTCTAGTCATGGAAAGAGAATTAGGATGCAACTGAGATTCTTGTGTTTCCATCTGCCATTATATGCACCTCAAGGTGGATCAGTCTAATAATTCATTCTCTATTCCTGTACTTTAATAGCTGAGTTCTGCTGGAGAAAAATTGTATCGTTTGGTATCTTCAGAAGCCATAGTCTGTAACCTCAGAATCACATTAAACTTTCCTAGTAATAATAGAAGTAGCAGTAGCAGAGGAGGAGATTGGTGTGTACCAGCTTGGTACCTGACACTTGGAACATTCTGCCTCATTTAGTTTATAGTGTTTCCCTAGCTTGCTAATACAGTCCCTCAGGTAGTAGAATGGCACAGCTGAAATGTAATCCCTAGTCTGCCTACCTCCAGAGACTTTTGTCTCTGGCTCTGAGACTTGTCTTACAGGCAATTCCAGATCCTCATTGCTCTCCTTGCGCACCTCCCTCAACTTGTCCCAGCTTTCTAGATGATCACTTCTGCTTCAGAGGAAAGGCAGGTGCCAGTAGGCCTGTCTTCTTAAGCTAGAAACTCATGTGCATATATCTTATCCCTTATTCTCTCCTCTTCAGAGGAAATTACTCTCGATTCCAGGGCCTTCTTCCACTCTTCTGCACCCTCTTCAGTTTTGAATCCCATCCTTTCTGCTGCCTCTTTAGAAGTTTGTATTTCTCATCCACATCTTCTCCAGCTACCAACATAACATACCGTGTTTAAGAGCAAAAGCTTTATGAGTTAGATCTCCAGTGTTTTTCTCCCTTGGGCACATTGGGTCATAATGTGGAGGGCATTTAAAGGTAAAAAGAGCCCTGAACACAGTACAATGAGTGTTTTACAAGATACATGTTAATAAATTATTCCAGTGTTACAAGGAGTTAAATAAGAACCTGAAGTGTGAGGTCACAGCTTGCATACCAGAAAGAACTGATACTCCTCTTGTATTTCAGGCATTAAAACTAAAATCCAAGAGTTTTCAACTTAGGTAGCACTTAGAGAAAGAATCCTGAGGCTCCTCCTCATGCAAGTCTGACAGAAGTGAAAGTGTGTTTACAACTTCACCTGTGATGCAAACACTTGTCTTAGACAAGGAGTCAGATCCCAATGGGAAGGGACTGACTGCCTCTTCTATGCTTCATTGAGGATACACTGTGTGAGGAAAGTATTGATGAAAGAGCTGTTTAAGGTCCAGAAGAATGATCAATTGCACCTTTAAAATGAAAATCTGATTCTCTTACTCCCTTCCTTAAAGATTCCCTGTTGCATTCTCTTCACAGAATAGTATCCAGAGGCTGTAGTAGGGCCTACTGTAGCCTGCTAGGCATTTCTGCATTGCCTCCGTGGTCTTGCCTTGTCCCTGCCTGACAGTGACCTTATGCCTTAAGGACCCAGATTATGTCACCTTTGCTGCCCTTCACCCATGTTGTTCTGTCCTCTGTTCCCAGGACATTTTGTGTACTTCTGTAAGAGCAAGTGTCAGCACATTAAAGTAAACCCATGACTCTCTCTACCATGAGTCAAAGATGGGAATTAAACTTTTCATCTTTGTAGCCTTCCTGGTGCCTAGCAGTCACTAGTCACGTTTACTACTGATTTACTGCAGTAGAAGTTCCTCAGAGGACTATCGGTTAATCATCCCATGTTACCTTCCTTGTGTCTTAACAAAAGTTCTGCTTTTCCTGATTATTTACACTTTACAAGGGATACACTTTACAAGTGGTTTGTCTCCTTTTCTGTCCAGGCAGCATAATTCGTTGTATGAGGCGCTTGGAAGAACTACTTCGACAAATGTGTCAAGCAGCAAAAGCCATTGGAAACACTGAGCTGGAGAATAAATTTGCAGAAGGTCAGTATCCAGCCCATAAGGTTCTTCTAGTAATTTCGGCAAATCCTGTTGAGATTTGACCTCTTGACCACAACCTAGGAGAACATTTTCAGATATTCTTCACTGGACTGCCATGGCAGGCCACCTGGTAGCATTCAAAGAAAATATCAGTGTGTGTTGGAAACAGTTTGTAAATGAATATAGATAAAATTTCAAAATATTTATTGTGCACTTATTGTGTGCCAGGCATTGGTTTAAGCACCAAGGAATACAGCAGTGAACAAAAAAAGACACAAACCCCTGCCTTCATGGCACTCACATTCTAGTGCAGGGAGGTGGACAGTAAACAAGTCAACAATTAAAATACATCAGGTAGTGATACAAACAAAGGAAGAGACAAGAGAGACTTGAAAGATGGATATGATGGCCTAGGGTCCCTCCATATATACTTGATGTACTTGAGCAACAGGCCAGTGTGGCTGGAGCACAGTGAACAGTCAGTCAAACAGTAGGGGTTGGAAGAAGAAAAGAATGGTCCTGTAGGCCCCAGCACTGAGCTTTTTCCTCTGAAGTGATTGGAGGTTTTGAGCACAGGAGTGGTGTGCTCTGACATGGGTTTCACCAGGCAGCTCTTGCTGGTGCTTTGTAGGCAAGTCTGTAGATTAGCTCGGTTGGAAGCAGGATGCCCAACTCAGGAAAGGCTGGCTAGATCCTGGTGGTAGTGATGGGGGAGGCACACATGCTTGCAAATAATTTCATGCCATCTGTATGTTGGCCAAGAAAAAGGACTTAAAACACCAAAGAATAGCAGACGCAGTGCTGCTCTGAGTTGGTTGCCCACAGTCAAACCTACTGATTTCACTATCTACTTAGTGTTCTAAGAAGTTTGCAGAAACTGGATTACGTTTTCAACATTGTTAAATAGAGCAGACCTATTTAATCACTGTGGGTTTAAGTCTAGTTTTTATAAACTTTCAAAAACTTTGTCCTGCCTTAGCCCAGAAAGAACTTCACATGGTAACTGAAATATAGTGCCTTCCATTGTAGGCTGAAAATTCATGCTTTTGGGTAACTAACTTCTTCTGACAGTTTATTCAAGTCTTTTAAAGTAATTTTGGACACCCCTAGCCCCTACACTACTCTGCTGCACTTCAGAGTCAGGATTCATAAGAACAGGGGTCTGGTTTCAAAGTTTCCCATTTCTCAGAGATGGCTATGAACTCCTTTAGGTGTCTTTCAGACCAGCAAGGGTTTTATATTTTCCATACTGTCTTCTCACCAATTTAATGAGTATTGTTTAAAACCCCAGTGGATGGGCATTACATTCTTTGTGGTCTTGAAAATTTAAATCATATTTTCTTTTCTCTTAGGAATCACCAAAATCAAGAGAGATATTGTGTTTGCCGCCAGCCTCTACTTATAAACAGTCAGCTAAGGAATGTGGAATTGTACATTGTTCTCCACCTGTCTGATTACAATCAACTACAAATGCCTATAAGTATTGATTTGGTTTTCCCATCTCAAGACAGTTGTCCTGAAACATTTTAATATGTATTATATTTAAATCAAGCATCATTCTAAGAAAGCATATTACATACACATTTGTACATAAGCATTACATTTTTTAATAAAAAAAAATGTACAGGTGGGGCATTGTTTTAGTGAAAGGCTGTTGAAATTTTTTTAAATGAACTTAGAGCTATTAGGTAACCATTGTGTTAAATGTAACTATATACACACAGGTAAAAGTAGGCATCCAAGAGGTATAGTAGCAGCAGTCCCTTAAAGGCTTGTACACCGGGAAGAAAGACGCATCCTCTTGCCTTCTGGTTGCAATCATTTTTCTTTAGAAAGCAGGCCAGCTTCATCTGGGCACTCTGCCACCTTCAAGGCTGGTGACTGTTCCGATAGTGATTCCCCGTCGTTGGTGTTTCGTGCAGAGTTGTATGAGAATCCTCCTCTTTTCTTTCTTTAAAAGGAGAATTTCTCTTTTTGAAGAAATCTGATACATATACAGCCTATGTAGAACAGATAACATTTAGAATGGGGCAGAGTATTAAATGATACAATTTTAAAGAAGTTGAAAAACCCTAGCAAAATTGCAGTAAGCAGTGTGCAAAAAAGAAAAGGATATACATTACAGGGTACAAGTTAAGGGTACCAATCAATTAGTGGCTGGGCTTCCCTGGTGGTTCAGTGGTAAAGAACATGCCTGCAATGCAAGAGATGCAGGTCCACTCTCTGGGTCAGTAAGGGCCTCTGAGGAGGGCAATAGCTACTCCAGTATTCTTGCCTGGGAAATCCCATGGCCAAGAGGAGCCTGGCAGGCTAGAGTCCATGGGGTCACAAAGAGGCGGAGACGACTCAGTGACTAAACAGCAACAACAAATTAGTGGCTAACAGGAATTTTTGTTAAAGACATCCTGAGAGTTGCTTTGTTATGTCTTGGGCAAAAAGCTTCACTGTGCAGCCAGCCCTTAATGAAAAAAAAGTGTCGTTCTTCATGTAAATTATTTTCAATTTATACCAAAAAGAAAACTTTATACCCAGGACTTTTTACAATTAAAAAAAAAAACAATAAATTTTTTAAATAACTTCGGCAGAAAGTAAATAACCTAGGTATTATTTGCTGTCTGTCCTAAAATGACTTGTAGTAACATTGGGGTCCTTACCCAGTAGCAATTATTGAGGCACATTCTCTGCCTTAACATAGTTTTCTCATTGGAACCTTTTTTCCTACTTATTTATCCAAGTGTTTATCAATTTCAAGATGTAGGCTGCTGCCATGTATACTTACAACTAATATTGCAACCAGAGCTCCTTGAATGAGTCCAGTCAACACATCACTCCAGTGGTGTTTGTAATCAGAAACTCGAGAAAGGCCCACATAAATGGATGCAGCAACAAGACCAAATTGCAGTGTAGGGCGTAAAAGTCTTGCCCAGTCTCCCTTCATTCTGGCTTGAAGGTAAAGCTAATAGAAAAGATGGGGGGGGGGGTTTAATATACCAACTGAAGACTATATTTTATATTAAATATCACATTTCTAAAGGATTGATGTTTAAAATGATAGCATTAAGTATTAATAATCATTAATCAGTGTTGTTATATATGGAAGAGGGCTTTAGGCAAGCATTCTTGTACTCATGAATACTTAAAAATTAATCCCAAAATAAAATGAAAATACAAATTGCCCTAGTACCAGTTTACAAGAATCTATTACCTATCTAGTTAGACCACTCTCCAAATTATAAACAAGGTAATTGTTTCTGTGTTTATAACCTAGGATTTCAGGGGCTGCTCCTTCCCTTCCATTTTGAGTTACAGTGATCGTTAGTTCAGAGTCTTGGCATCAACTGCTAGTGCTCTGAGCACAGATTGCTCTTACCCTGGGCCAGGCTGCTGTATTTTCTGCCCAGCCTATTTAGGAACTAAGCTTGCTTAATTCACCCAAACAATTTACTTGAGAATTCCTCTAGCCTCAAATTATTTAACATGAGTGACTGAGATTAAATAAATCTGTATTTATAAGTAGATACAATAATCTGCCTAAGTAAAGAATATAGTCTGTAGTTTACTCCTGATCTAGTAAGAGTATTCTTTCATTAGCACTGTATCCTTTAAAGTTCTATGATTTTGCCATACACTAATCAGACCTGAGAATTTCCCCTTTGCTATGTCAGCCTGCCCTTGACTTTGGTGCATCCCCAAAGACTGTAATAAAGAACAAATTTGGAATAGTTTCCTATGAACACCTTTCAGCAAATATGGTCTTTTTTTTCCCCTAACTTCTATCTAATAATATAATTCTTAATATTCATTTAAAAAACTCTGTTCAATAATTTATGGCTCATACAACTTACTTAAATGCAGTCTGCAGAAAACAATTTATGTCGCTGTGTCCACTGATCCTGCCTATTTAAAGTAGATAGACAAGTCCATTCCTAGTTCACTGGGCACTGTTGTGCGTGTTCAGTTCTTGGCACCTGGCAAAGACCCAGAGGTCGTCTAATTTTATCAAGTACCTTATAGTATAAACATCTAATCCTAAAAAAGCATACCAGTTGTTTAACTGAGTTGAGCTCATTAACAGGCTGAAGTGCTACTGGCTTTCTGCAGAGCTCCTCTCCCCGTTTTTGTTTGCTGCTGTTGAAGCTGTAAGCAAGCACAGAGTAAGGGGCTTGTCTCAAGATTCTGGAGGTAGTAAGATACTTGGTTCTGGTTGGGGTAGAGTGACTTAGCATGTGCTAGCTGAAGCCAGTTAGGTACCACAGCCGTGCCAGATAATATTCACCTCGTTATTTCTAACTGGAAATTTTGTGTTCATTTTAAGGAAAAGCAGTTCTTTAACTAGGGGCCAAGTTTTGTATGTTATTATCCAAAAGTTTAGTTGTCTCTCTTCTAGTTATTGTTAAGCTATCTTTTCAGATGATGGTTAAAGGCATCGGTTATTTAGACCATAAAAACATATACTTAGGAATTACAAATACTTGACCTGAATGCAGACATATTAGAGAGAACTGCACCCATCCCTGCTAGGAACATAGTAAAAAAACAACTGTAAAATGGACTTAGGGATTTATTTTTTTACTTCCAACATAAAGGAAACTCAGGACTTTCAAGGTTCTTCCTCAGTTAGGATTCTAAAATCCCTCTGTTTCTTCCAAAGAACTCTGACTTTGACTTTAGGTAGCCCACACACATATGTTAAATAAGTATTAATTTGCCCCAATCTCTTCCTCAACATCCCTGTGAAAATAACATTTGCTTATGGATCAATAACCAGACACACTGCAGTATACTCTAGGTGAAATCTTTCCCCTCTAAGTACCTAATTAAATAGAGTCTGTGTTTGTCTCTTCTGGGGACTAATGGCCGTGGCTTGAGTAAGGCTCTTGTTACAGAACAAATCTTGGCTCTAAGTGAGACTGGCTAATTGAGTGGGCTTCCTATTTGCCTGTTTTGTATCTCTGGGTCCAAGGCACTTGATGTAGCAAAAGCCGGGCACCACCTCTGGCCCTGCTCTTCCCTGTGAGGACTTGGGTTTCAGTAGACCCCCAAGAGGTACACACACTGAGTTTGTTGAACCTTGGGTCACCTGAGTTGCGCGGTTGACATGCCCTGAACTCCAGAGACAACTGACCTCTCTTGTTGCCAGCCGAAAGCCTATCCTACATAAGCAGGTCCAAGAAAGCGTACAGTGCTGACCTTCGGGGGGCTCTACTTCCTAAGCCGTTCTCAGGTTCCACAGTGCAGATCTTTTAAGCTCCCACCCTCTAGAGGCCTGGAGATTCAGCTTCCTCCTACCACTCATATAATGCTTTCCAAAATCTTTACCTCTTGCTTACTGTCTCCTTTTCCATTCTTTGACTTTGTGGACTTATATATTTTTTTCTATTCTACTCCTTGTCCTTTGATGGGGGAGAGGAAAGCATATGTGTTCCTTTAAAAACAAGTCTCTATTCCTCCCATCTTTCTCTGTCTCAGAGAAACTGAATATCTGATATATCTCAGCACTGCTATATTAGAACTAGATATGGGGGACTGCTCATGCTTTAATGCCAGAGTTGAGAATAAAAAGGCTTTGTAACCTTTGTTGCCTTTGCAACCTCCACTCTTCACCTTCTCTCTACCTGTGCATTTGTTAATCACATATGTACTACAAGAAGGAAAGCATTCATTTGTTTGTATCTTAAGATTTAGAACTTCTAGAACTCTATATCCAATGCTGTGTATGGTAGCAGACTGGCTGGCTCAGTGGTAGCATCTACAATTTTCAAATTACCCCGCTGGGGGAAACTGCCAATCCACAGACAGAACTGAAGGGCACCACATAACCCTGCCTTACTTTGTGAGAGGGCAGAGTATGACTTAGGACAGACTTCGCCCAGAAATCTGCTGGGCTGTGTTTGTTCTAGGATTTATTTATGAAAGAACTGTTTATTTTTCACAAGTTGTAGAAACGATCCCTAACAGACACATGATAGGCTACTGGCAAACAAAAGCTATGGTTAGACAAGAACGAGCCATTTTAATAGAAAATGGAGAAGAGTGGCAGCCACATTCTAAAAAACCAAGTGGCCAGTGAGACAAGTGGAAATTCAACTTTCTGGTGAAGTAGAAAGGTCACAACTAGAAATAAAAGACAAGGTTCTGGCAGGACAAAAGCAACCTGCAGCACTTCAGTAAGGTGCTCCCGAGAAGCAAAGGCTTCACACTGTGATGCTACAGATTCAGGAGGTCCCACGGCAGGACAGCCGAGGAGCAAAGGGTGAAACATGCAGCTACCGGTTCTGCAAGCAGGGTGATCCACAAAACGCCAGACAGCAAATGGAAGACTTGGTGACATAAAAAGGCAGGTTGAAAACAGGGACTACCTGGAGAAGGAAATGGTATCCACTCTACTCTTGCCTGGAAAATCCCATGGAGAGGAGCCTGGAGGGCTACAGTCCATGGTCAAGAAGAGTTGAAAACAACTTAGCGGCTAAACAACAACAAAACCTTGTTTTCTTTGGAATCCTAACTCTATGATTAATCAGAATTAAACCTGTTGTCATGTTTTCTGTGGCAGGTTGATACCCTACTTCTGTCATCAGTGGTATTTCTGATGCTGTAAGTGACATGTTGAAACAAATGGGAGTCAAGGTTCCCTGGTGAAATGCCTTGGGGTCAAGATTTGGCCAGATCTTTTTTCTGGGCTCCAGGTGACTTCCCTGATGGCTTGGTTGGTAAAGAATCCGCCTGCAGTGCAGGAGATACAAGAGATGCGGGTTCAATCCCTGGGTTGCGAAGATTCCCTGGAGAAGGAAATGGCTACCCAGTATTTTTGCCTGGGAAATCTCATGGACAGAGGAGCCTGGTGGACTATAGTCCGTAGAGTTGGAAGGGTCACACATGATTTGGCAACTAAACCACCACAAGCACCACCAGGTGGCTAAGGAATGTAGCCAGGATCCCTTCCCACAACCAGTCCAGTCAGCAGTCCCACTGTGTGAGCTGGTTAAAACTATCTGGGGGGACTTCCCTGGTGGTCAGTGGCTAAGACTGAGTCGAATCAAGAGCTCAGAGCCAATCTGGTACAACCACTGCATGTGCAGGGCCTAGTTCCAGTCAGCAGACACTAGTTTGAAGAGACCTTATGACTCGACCCATATCCTCTATTAAAGGATCTAGTTATAAAATCTCATTTTAAAAATTCAATTAAATTGTTGAGTAAGGTATTTTTTTTTCCACTTATTAGTTGGAGGCTAGTTACTTTACAATATTGTAGTGGTTTTTGTCATACATTGACATGAATCAGCCATGGATTTACATGTGTTCCCCATCCCGATCCCCCCTCCCACCTCCCTCCCATCCCATCCCTCTGGGTCTTCCCAGTGCACCAGCCCTGAGCACTTGTCTCATGCATCCAACCTGGGCTGGTGATCTGTTTCACTATAGATAATATACAAATTGTTGAGTAAGGTATTTTTTGAGGCTGGTTTGTTTCTGCCTTTCCTCAACTGACTCTGTAATATGTAACTACAGAATGCTATTGCCTCGTAAAGTCTCTTAATATAGACATACCTGTATTAAGGCATACCTGGAGATGTTGTGGCTTTGGTTTCAGACCACTGCAATAAAGTGAATATCACAGTAAAGCAAGTCACATGAATTTTCTGGTTTCCCAGTGTATATACAAGTTATGTTTATGCTATGCTATATAGTCCATTAAGTGTGTGGTGGCATTTTGTCTAAAAAAAGTATATACCTTAATTTAAAATTATATTATTACTAAAAAGTACTAACAATCATCTGAGCCTTCAGGTAAGTTGCAATCTTTTTGTAACACTAATAAGAAAGACCACTAATGACCATAACAAATAGAACAGTAATAATGAAAAAGTCTGAAATATTTTGAGAATTACCAAAATGTGACACAGAGACACAAAGTGAGCAACTGCTGTTGAAAAAATGGCTCCACCAGACTTCCCT